CCACTATTGACAAGTACAGAATTTGATAGGACACTTCCAATTTTGACCATTTTTTGTCTGTTTGACAGGAATGCTTCTATCCAGTTATGCAGTTGTCCAGAGATACCATAAGATTTTAGTTTTAGGAGTAGTTTGTTGTGTACCATTGAATCAAAGGCTTTACAGAAGTCTATGTATTGCTTTGCCCTGATCGAGTTGTGTAGTCCATATGTTTTTGCAGTGTAAGAGTTACAGATTACAGGATAATTTTTTTCCTGAAACCAAATTGTTTATTGGAGAGTAGGTTGTTTGTCTCTAAGTGGAGGATAATGGATTAGTTAATAATTGATTCCATGACTTTACAGGTGACGCAGCATAAGGAGATTGGTCTGTAATTTTCAACTAGCCTGAGGCCTCCCTTTTTGAAGATGGGGATGACCGTGGCTTGTGACCATAGGTTAGGCAAGGAACTGGTCCTGAAAGATTTTTCAAAGATTATGCTTAGAGGTTCGGCTATGGCAGTGGATAACTTTTTTAAGAAGTAGGCACATATTCCGTCCGGTCCAATAGATAGAGATGGTTTTAGATTGTGTAGTGCTTTTTCAACATTGCCTTCTGTAAAATCGATATGTATTAGATCATTGTAGTTGTCTGTGGTTCGGCTCGGAAATACTGGGCATGATCCATTGCTGTTTACAAATACTGAGTTGAAGAATGTGTTAAAGATGTTGGCTTTAATGGTGTTGTCGTTCTAGTCTTTACCATTAGGTCCTATCAGGGGTGGGATGGACCTTGAGTCTCAATATCATTGAGGATATTGCTTTTTAAAAAACCCATTCAAATAAAGCCCTAACACAATCAAAAATAAAAACGTAATAATTTGGCTTAGCCTACTTTTTTGCCCCAATTCATTAAAAAAAACTTATCTTCAGGGTCTTTCAGAAAAGCAACAAGCTGGGGGCCAATCGTACCTAGTGGAGGGGGGGTGATGTTCCATATAACACCAGAAGAATCCCTCAGAGGTGACCCAAGTCTAAACTTGTGCAAAACTATTTGGGCTGCTGCATTCTTAACCAACTAAAGCTTCCAAATACTCTTCAAGGGCAGCCCTATGTAGAGTGCATTACAATAATCCAGATGCAAGGTGACCAAAAGGTGGTCTCACACTTTCCATCTGTGGGAATGGCATGCTAGTCCAGGTATGGGCATAAGTGGCACATAACGGCTCCTGAGCACAATTTCCAGGAGCAAGAATTGTGAATCTACAACCCTCAGATTACACATTGGGTCAGTTTGTGGCAAGGCACCCCAACCCATGACCAAAGATTCTCCAAGCACCAAGAGAACCTGATCTAGATCCACTCTGTCTTGCTGGAGCTCAGTTTTAGCCTGTTGCTCCACATCCAGCCCTCAACAACCTCCATGCACCAAGATAAGATGGACACAGCACTGTTTTAACTCACCATATACAGCTAAGTATCATCAGCATACTGTTGATATCTCACCCCATAGTGATGGATGATCTCCCACAACTGATTGATAGATTTTAAACAGGAGTGGAGAAAGTGTTGTCCCTTGAGGGAACCCGCAAAGCTGTCGGATCTCTTGCCCTCTTGCATTTTCAACATCAATTGAAAATGATCTTGAAGGAGGAAAATGACCCAGGACAACACAATGCCTCCAAACTCAGTCATTCTAGAAGAATACCATGGTCAATGGTTTGAAAAGCCATTGAGAGGCCAAGTAGTATGTTGTGTAACTCCATATTCAAGTCAAACATAAATTAGCACAATGGATGAATATCCATAAGCATAATTTTCCATATATTTGGATTTATACTTAATACTTAATTAATATTATTCAGGTAGATGCTCATGTTACTATTGGGATCAAATTCACAGGCTGACTCTCATTGCTTTAAGCTTAAAGAGCCATCATTTATGCTCTCTTTCTCTTTTGTATGCAGAAGTTCAACTTCATCTAGAATAGCAAATTATACCTGAAGTTCAAGTAAGAAATCTTCTCTGTCACATCCTTTTCAGTGCTGAAGGAATTTTATTTCACTTGCCATCATTGAGGTAACTTAGTCATTTATATTGCAAGTAGTTACTGCCTATGTTTTATGGATTCATTGCAGTTACAGAGACATCACATATGTTTGGAAGCGAAACAGTTCTTGTTTTAACTAAATCATTCAAAATGCTACAAGCACTGTGAATCCTTTCCAAGAACTAGACATTCATTTATCATATTAGCTGCTGAGTAAATCTGACATTAAACACACTGCTGGACAAATGATTTGCAAGATTTAACAGGAGGTAGTTATTGCTTCATAAATTACTTGTTGGCATCATCAATTACTTAGAATTCTAAAATGCAAGTCAGAATAAGATACATACTTATTTCACTGAAAAAGCACAGACAGTTTAGGAGCAGCAAAGCCATGTCTGAGTTACTCCCATAATCCAGCAACTAGGATTAAGACAGCCAGTTTGAGATTCAATAGCCTATATATATAGAACACTATTTTGAAATATGAATGGGAGGGGGAGCTACTGCAATTAACATTGGCCAGTTCTAAAGAAATGGAAACTATATCATTAAGTTAGGGAAATGTTCTCACTTTTCTTAAAAATCATCTCTCACACATTACAGGGAAAACTCTGAGCAGTTCACAAGCAAGGATACTTTCACCTTTCAAATCAAAGGAGGAGTTATTCTCTTTCAAATGCCAAGTAGATTGTGCTGTTAAGCTCCCAATCATCTAATAGAATTATGAAAGGCATGTTAAGGAAACTATTTTATTTAATAATTTCAATGGCAGGAGTTAGGTTTTGGATTGCATTTTGCTTGCAGTCATTTTAATAAATATTTATAATGGTATGAAGTAATAAAAGAACTCAGTAACTCTCTAGCAACTGTCCAGATTCAGGATATTCACTTATGATTTGTCAGAAGACATTGATTACTTGAGAAACTGCATTGGAGAACCACTGTCATCAGCATAAATATAATCTCAGGGCACTGACTGAGTAGAAGGATGAAGGAAAGAGAGTTCCAGTTTCTCATTCTTGTGAAGCCTCTTCCTGCCTCTTTTAGAACTGTTTGAAGCAAGACAGAAGGGACCTTAAAGGTCTTCTAGTCCAACCCCCTGCTCAAGCAAGAAACCCTATTTGTTATTTCAGACAAACGTCTGTCCAATCTCTACTGGAAAAAGTAAGTAGGCAAAATACCTCAACTCCTTCCTTTCCAAAATTCCAAAAAGCTATTGAAAGCCTTGTAATGTATCCATTGGGGAGGCATCTGGGGATGTCTTGATTATTATTTGTTTACTCACCTAATTTGAGTATATATCATAAATAGAAAATAATTGTAGCGACAAAGAACTTCAATAATAAGTCAATATATACTTGAACAGATAAACTGAATGACCCCAGGCAGGCAAAAAAAAACAGTGGAAGCAGAAGTGACTCCCTCCTTTCTGCTGGCATCCCCATTGTTACTGCTTATGAGAAGCTGGCAGGGAGCATCGGAAATCATGATCATATAACCCCAGGGATGCTGAAATGGCCATAAGTTTGCAAATAAAGCTGGTCTGAACATTATGGAAATTTCAATTCCACAGAAGTAATAGTAATAGAATTCATTTTTATGAATTCTTTAATGTGCAGATTTAGGAACTTTGATTCAAAAATTGTTGTAATATAATGCATCTTTTGGGCTAAGTTGAATATAGAAACAGACTAACAGATAAACATAATGAGAGTTTTAATAGAATGTAGATCAATTGTTTTAAAGAATAGTATTATAATATCTTGTCCATGTATTTTAAAAAGACCGGTTAAATTATATTATCACTCATTCTCTAAGCATGTTTTTATAGGAAAGAAGTGATACTAATTACATGCATAATTTAAGCATCTAGGTTTTAAACTTGTTCTGCTAGCAGAAACAGTTCTATGTTATAGTTCACTGCAATACTGAGAAGAAAGTTTTGTTAAATTAAATGGGACACCCTTTTCTAAATAAATATGGTTAGATCAGGATATGAACTTAGCATTATTCAGGCATCCATCTAAGTTGTTGCTGTCCTAAAGAAGATTACAAACTGTGCTATATATGTATACTCATTCTTCATGATGATTTGCTCTCTACATTACAAATGTAAATGATAAAACATTCATAGAAGTGCTTGTTTTCCATGTTTCTTGAGACAGAATGAGATTAAATTTATGACGTTAGTAGTTTCTACAATGGGGAACATCTGTGTCTTATTTCCAGACAGATGGATTGAGAGAGTTATGCAAATAAGAGGCATAAAAACAAAAGATATTCCTTATATATAATGCTTGTAAAAAGTTGACATGAAAGTATAAAGATGGTCAGTTCAGATCGAGACCACAAATTTATCACAATCACAGAATTCCTCAAAACAAGAAATTGGACAATAGTGATTTGGAGCAAACAGTAATACTTTCTCAATCCCAAAGATGAGGTATTAGAGGAAACTAGTAGTCTAATCAAGTAAGTATTACTCTGGCTTAAAGATAAATATATCAATATTGGCTCTAATACTTCCACATTTCCCTATGAATTTTATCAGAATGACTATTTTTCCTCTTTTAAGTACCTGGAATATTATTTAGCAATATAACTGAAAAACTGAAGGGAATGATATCTCATTGATGTTGAGAAATGGATAAAGTAGGCAGAAATAATTCCATTCTATTAAAGAAAATGAAAATTCTTTCCAGTTACCCTGCTTTGCCATAATTCTTTTTGTTTTTCCCAAATCTATTACTTTACATTTTATATTGTATAGAACTAAGTTTAATTAGAGAAAGAGCTGAGGTTTAAATATTATTAATCTGTGTCCATTAACATAATATTAGGATGCTAACCCATAGAACAACTGAATGGTTTGGCTAATTTTTATTCTGAAATAAAGGAGGAAGGAATTTTCCGAACAGGATGGATATGCATGCATGCAAATGTGTATGCAAAAGTGCAAAAACACTTACCACTAGTAGAAGTATCACTGAGATTTAACAGACCTCCTCCTAACCCTCTGTAACTATGGTAACTGTAGGTCCCATTTCCATTAATGTACAGCACCTCCTGTGTACTGGAAACAGTTGATGTTGAGTATGTGACCTGGGTTGGTTCCTGTTTAAATTGTTTGTCAGCAGATGCAGTCTCATCCTGCAAGAACAATGTCCAGTGAAGAGTATCAAGTTAGAGGGGCATGTTTCATATAAAGATTAAAAAATTATATTGCTATTTAATGCAGTTTTTATGAATTATTTTCAAAAAATTAAAAAAGAAGTAATACAATCACAGCAAGATTTTAATCTTACCAGAAGTAAAACAAAGCAAGTTCTACATACTCTTTAACTGTCATTATTATCATAAGAGTCAAATGTAGAACAAATTCTATGAATCTATAGTCTCCACCATTTTTCTACCTCAGAGCATGGAAGTTAAAGTGAAACTACAGGTAGAACTAAGAGGCAATTATTGGTATTTGTTTGGCTTGCTATCATGATACCAAGATGAATTGGATAATGGAAGAGAAACATGGAAGAAAGAAGCATCATGACACATTGCATTTAACTCACTGCCAATCTCATTTTTTATCTGAACCAAGAGGCATTCATTTTCATGTCTGATATGATAGATAACCCTGGTTATATTTCAGAAAGTATCATTAAGATGATTGTTATTCAGCCTTCTGGTATATGGAATGCAAAAATCCAGATTTGGGACTTCTTATTATTCCATACATTGCTGAACTCCCACCAACCTAGTATGGCAAATGACAAAGGTTGCCATTCATGCTATACACCATTCAAAATTAATGCTAGATCAGTTACCTAATTCTAAATTATCTCAATTAATACAACCAACACCTATGAAGATAATAAATACGTGACAAAATAATTGTGAAAAAATAAATTATCAGTAAAATGACAAAATTACCATCAGTCGATAACAACAGGCAGCTTGAAACAGCTTACATCTTGCAACAATACCTCTAATGCCATCAAACAACAACACATGCCTTTCCCATGTCCTTGGGAAGGATTCTATAGGTGGACAAAAATGCCAAATCCAGTCAAAATATCTGGCTGACTGCAGCGAACCATGATAACAATAATTGGTTTTATTTGATCAGTGACTGCAGCAAAATTTCACAAACTGGCTACAAGCAGGGTCATGTCTGAGTTGTCAGGTTATTCATTGGAAACTTTGCCAGAGTTTTGGATTTGAACGCAGTAAGAAACTACTGGGACCATCAAGTTGAGAAGCTTTTGGAACATGAATGGGTTAAGATCCAAGCAGACAGGCATCTTGTTCATAACATGTTTGATATACCAATCATGTCAGAGCAACAAGGACTTCTTTGATATCTGAAAGTATTGAATTTATTGGACAAGAATTCCATAAATTTACAAAACAACAACAATAACAACAGCAACAACCTCACCCTGCTTTGAATTGCTTCTTTTCTTAGACTCTACCCTAAAATATTAATCATTAAGAAGCTAAAGTGCACTGGGACTTTAGAATTAAAAAAGACAAACACTAGACATAAAACACCTTAGATTTAACAACAGTTGATAAGAAAGACAAAATAGGGAATAATTGGCTCTTGTTGTAAAAAGTCAACTCCTATGTTATATAATTACAATTTAGGAAGTAGGCATAACTACCTTTAAAAGTGGGTGCAATTTTAAGGATTAATATTCAAAGTGTAATGCAAACGATTCTAGGAGGAATCTTTAATCATTACTCATAATCTGGTGTGGCATGGGAACTTCTTCTATGACACCGTAGCCTGCAATGTCGCAATAATTCTTATAAAAGATTTTATGAAGAATAAATTAATTATATGGATTCTTCTCATGTGCGATATCAGCTGCTCATGAAAAATAGAACTAGCCTGGGAATGAATTACTGTCCACTCAGTCTAAAATAGAATTACAGGCAAGATTGTAGCATCATGAGAATAACTTCATATTAGCAATCACAGTTGCATATAAACTTGTTATTCCTGAGATTATTGAAAATTGTAAAGATACATAAATACAATAGATATAGGTAATCTGTGAGATAAATTGTAATCTTTTGTGCATTTCTGAAATTTAGAGAGATAATCCAAGGCACCCAGACATATCAGGAATTTCCTGTTTGGAAAATTATTTTATCATTAGCCATTATTGGAATGCTAATACAGGAAGTCCTCGGTTTACAACAATTCATTTAGTGACTGTTCAAAATTACAGGTGAAACTCAAAAAATTAGAATATCGTGCAAAAGTTCATTTATTTCAGTAATGCAACTTAAAAGGTAAAACTAATATATGAGATAGACTCATTACATGCAAAGCAAGATAGTTCAAGCTATGATTTGTCATAATTGAGATGATTATGGCTTACAGCTCATGAAAACCCCAAATCCACAATCTCAGAAAATTAGAATACTGTGAAAAGGTTCAATATTCTAGGCTCAAAGTGTCCCACTCTAATCAGCTAATTAAGCCATAACACCTGCAAAGGGTTCCTGAGCCTTTAAATGGTCTCTCAGTCTGGTTCAGTAGGAAGCACAACCATGGGAAAGACTGCTGACCTGACAGTTCTGCAGAAAACCATCATTGACACCCTCCATAAGGAGGGAAAGCCTCAAAAGGTATTTGCAAAAGAAGTTGGATGTTCCCAAAGTGCTGTATCAAAGCACATTAATAGAAAATTATGTGGAAGGGAAAAGTGTGGAAGAAAAAGGTGCACAAGCAGCAGGAATGACCGCAGTCTGGAGAGGATTGTCAGGAAAAGGCCATTCAAATGTGTTGGGGACTTTCACAAGGAGTGGACTGAGGCTGGAGTCGGTGCATCAGGAGCCACCACACACAGACGGATCCTGGACATGGGCTTCAAATGTCGTATTCCTCTTGTCAAGCCGTTCCTGAACAACAAACAACGTCAGAAGCATTTTACCTGGGCTAAAGAAAAACAGAACTAGTCTGTTGCTCAGTGGTCCAAAGTCTTCTTTTCTGTTGAGAGCAACTTTTGCATCTCATTTGGAAACCAAGGACCCAGAGTCTGGAGGAAGAATGGAGAGGCACACACTGAAAGATGCTTGAAGTCCAGTGTGAAGTTTCCACAGTCTGTGTTGATTTGGGGAGCCATGTCATCTGCTGGTGTTGGTCCACTGTGCTTCATTAAGTCCAGGGTCAATGCAGCCGTCTACCAGGAGATTTTGGAGCACTTCATGCTTCCTTCCTCATTATGGGGATGCTGACTTCATTTTCCAGCAGGACTTGGCACCTGCCTACACTGTCAAAAGCACCAAAACCTGGTTCAATGACCATGGAATGACTGTGCTTGATTGGCCAGCAAACTCACCTGACCTGAACCCCATAGAGAATCTATGAGGTGTTGCCAAGAGAAAGAGGAGAGACATGAGACCGAACAATGCAGAAGAGCTGAAGGCTTCTATTGAAGCATCCTGGTCTTCCATAATACCTCAGCAGTGCCACAGGCTGATAGCTTCCATGCCACATCGCATTGAGGCAGTAATTGCTGCAAAAGGGGCCCAAAGCAAGTACTGAGTACATATGCATGCTTATACTTTTCAGAGGCCCGATGTTATTCTATGTACAATCCTTGTTTTATTGATGCATGTAATATTCTAATTTTCTGAGATTGTGGATTTGGGGTTTTCATGAGCTGTAAGCCATAATCATCTCAATTATAACAAATCATGGCTTGAATTATCTTGCTTTGCATGTAATGAGTCTATCTCATGTATTAGTTTCACCTTTTAAGTTGCATTACTGAAATAAATGAACTTTTGCACGATATTCTAATTTTTTGAGTTTCACCTGTATAGTGGCAATGAAAAAAATGACTTAAGACCATTTTTCACACTCCCATAGTCATGTGACCAAAATTCAGATGCTTGACGACTAGCTCATGTTTATGATGGTTGCAGTGTCCTGGGGTCATGTAATCACCCTTTGCAATTTTCTGAAAAGCAAAGTCAATGAGGAAGCCAGATTCACTTAACAGCTGTGTTACTAATATAACAATTGTAGTGATTTGCTTAACAAATTTGGCAAGGAAGGTAAAAAATGGGGCAAAATTCGCTTAACGAATGTATCACTTAACAACAGAAATTTTGGGCTCAGTTGTGATTGTAAGTCAAGGACTATCTGTACTGTATAATCCAGGGGTCTATTATCTACTGTTATTAAACAAATGAAGCTTTTTATGAAATATTACCTATAGCCAAGTACTCTGTGTATCTGATATAAGTTGCAACTCAAGCCATCATAAATCTTGCAGCAAAAATGTCAATACAAATATTGCATAGCAACAAGCTTTCAGCCAATTTGCAATGCATTCATTCTGATCCAAGAACTAAAGAGGTGCAACTTTTGGTGTAAATAGAAATGTACATCCTTATCCAAGTCCATTAGTTGCTGAATGTGACCAGCTGTGCAAATGGGGATTGAGGGCATTTCTTTAGTATCCTTGGTCTGATTGGACAATACTGTTTTTTGCATGTAATCTAGCAAAGAACCATCTTGACATAATGTTGTGTTTTCTATCAGGTTTAATTCTACTGGGCTTGACCCAGTTTAAATTTTATGAGCAATAAACTTAAAAGCTCAAATTATAGCTGAGTGTTTTGGCATATCAAAGTGGCCAAGAATTTCTTTCAATTTCAATAAGGTTACAGAGTTGATGCGATCAAGTAGAGATGGAAAATTTTATTTCTAAACAGGGATTAGATGCTGTTTGGCTGTTGATTTGGTTCATTAAATCCCATTAACATTAAGTGTTCGGGGAACTTTATCTGAATAAAAATGCATTAACCCTCCAAGATCATGTGCTAGTTAAATAGAAGAGCTCAGTATGCTTCAACTTACATAAAATAAAGTTCCAGTATGGACAGCAGCCAATATTTATATTACAAGAATATATGGAGTACTTTTTTTACACAAGAATATAGGTGTATCTTCAAGAATGTGAAAGTAATCCCACTGGATCAAATAAAAAACCTCTCCAGTTCAATATTCTACTCCCAAACTAGCCAACTAGTCTACAGGAAGCCAAATGTTATTTGGAATGTTTGTGATACAAATGTTATTTAGAAGAATACTGCCTCTCACCCTATAGGTCACTGACAGTGACCATAGCTAGAAGATTTCCTCAGATAAAGTTATTCCAGATGGTTGATCATTTGTGTTACCATTTTATGCCCTTTCCCTGTTTTACTGTATCCTTTTCAAACTAGGCTGGTTTTACTACCATCAGCTTTCCAAGCAGGGCTGTTCCTTTTAGAATCCTAATAAATTCTATCTCATTCAAATTAGGAATGGAAACATATGAGGGGCCTCTACCTGATGCTCCTTCAGAGTTGCAGATTAGCAGTTTGTTTTGAGCATTTCCCAGAGCTTCTCTGGAATAGCAGCCACCACCAATCTGAAGCACTACGGCAAAAGAATGGTCAGCCTGACTCTTAGAAATAGCTAATTGGATCAAATGTCTTGCTCTGAGGGATCCTTTGTCAGAACAGGTTATCGTGGTCATTGTCTGGACAGATTGCTGTACCATAGAAACATGGTCATTATGGAGATGAGTAGAGAGAAGTAAAGCAGTGATTAGTTAGGTGGAAAATGTTTTTGGGTTGCTGTCAAGTAGGTTACGCTAAAGATGTACATGCAATTATACATTAGTACAGCTTTGTTTCAAGTTTTGGGTAACTTTAATTTGGACTACTTTATATAATCATATACATGTATGAATAAATATATTCATTTTCTCTTCATTATATCAGAGATAGCAGATAGAGAGTAAAATGAAGCAGAAGTTGTTTTACTAGCTTGCATATTTTTTAAAAAATGATTAGAAAGTCTTGGCCTTAATGAGATTTCTTAAAGTACAATGTCAGCATAGGCAGAAAAAGATTGTACTGTCTAAAGAATAGCAAAGAAGATCTGTGTTTATGTGAATTCTGAAGCTCTGGGTATAATCATTTCTGAAGTATTCACAGCTTAACTGTATACATGAACATAGTATCAAAACCTAGAGTATCTTGACAACATTGAAGAGTCTACATTTGTCCTTATAAATTTAGAAATAGGCAAATGTTTTGTATCTGAGATACTACATAAACATTCAATGATCCCTGTATCCTATATTGTGATCCTCCTTATTAATTTTTAAAGACAAAAGAAATAAAATAATAATTAGCTCACTTTAACATCCATTAAAAACCAAAGCAACTAAAATATATGAATTGTCCAAGGAGTACAAAAAGCATTCTAACCAATTTCTGAAGACAACTCCATCGGTTTAAAAGAGAGAGAGACACACACACACACACAAGACTTATCTTGTGTTTCCATCAATAGTGGTAATAGCCACAACAAATAGGAGGCATCTTTCTCAGGGACTGCACACAAACTCTGAAAGTCCGTGATTCAAAAATAACAGACTGGCCTTTTTCCGTAAAGATGTTCATACAATAACATTTTATTTACAGATGTTACCAGTTTGGTTTTTTTTGCTTGATCTTATTAGATAATTTTGTAGCTGATTTTAGACTTACTGTTAGCCAATCTGAGTGGTATATACAATGGGGAGGGGGGGTTACACATGTATTACAATGGCATAGTTTTGTATTTAAATAGACGAAAAATGCAATCTTTTTTATAACATTGTCCATGACACTTCAAAGATTCTCACTAAAGCAGTGGAGATGTCTTTATTAATATGCTATACAGTAGCTATTTATGTCTGTTATTTTACAATAAAATATTGACAATGACACTTTCAGTATGCAATGACAAACCATTTTTTAAATTTTCAAATTTTCGCAAAATGTTTTCAAATCATGTTACAAGTGTGATTTAACCAAAAACAATTGAGCATATGGGTAATCAAATATTGATTGAAGCCTATGTATTTTCCTATCCCTACTTTTCTCCTGTTTCTTCTAATACAAACATAAGACATTTCCTGCCCTCTTTTAGAAAAGTTTATTTTTTATTTATTTATTTATTTGGTTTGTCAATTGCTTACAAAATAATAGGTATAAGTAAAAACATAGTTATGAATACATGGATACATATAAGAAAAATAAAAAGAATAAAAGAAACAATAGGACAGGGATGGTAGGCACATTGGTGCAATTATGCACGCCCCCTACAGACCTCTTAGGAAAGGGGTGAGATCAATAGTAGACAATCTAAGGTTACAGTTTTGGGGTTTGGGGAAGAAACTACAGAGTCAGATAGAGTATTCCAGACATTGACCACTCTGTTGCTGAAGTCGTATTCCCTGCAATCAAGTTTGGTGCAATTAACCTTGAGTTTGTATCTATTGTTTGCTCTTGTGTTGTTATGGTTGAAGCTGAAGTATTCATTGACAGGTAGGACATTGCAGTGTATGATTTTATATACCATACTTAGATCAGACCGAAGGCGCAATAGTTCTAAGTTTTCTAGGTCTAGAATTTCAAGTCTAGTGGCATAAGATATTCTGCAACAAATAGAGGAGTGGAGAACTCTTCTTGTGAAATATTTCTGGACTTTCTCAACTGTGTTAATATCAGATACGTAATGTGGGTTCCAGACTGATGAGCTGTATTCGAGTATTGGTCTAGCAAATGTTTTGTATGCTCTAGTTAGTAGTGTGATATTACCAGAGAAAAAGCTAGGTAAGATTAGGTTAACAACAACAAAAAAGTTACTCAAAGCTGTATAAATAGACTCATATGACAATATACCATACATACAATATCACTTTCAACTGGAAAAACCATAACAATAGAGTCTTTAAGAAAAATTATAAGAAAAAATACCTATTATTTCTTTACAGGTTTTACCTCTCTATGTTTATTTTGGTTTTTTGTTCAGACAACTGAACAATGCATCTCGTGTTTCCCATTTCTCATGAACATCACCGTACCTGCTGCGGTCGGTCTAATCGCATGCGCTTTGCAGCATTCCTGCTTTCACTTTCACAGGCAGAAGCTAGGATACTCTCAGCTACTGCAGAAGTAAGATGTGAGGGAATGGGTCTTGACTGTGGAAAAGAAAAAGAGAGAGAATATAAAAAGATTATTCATAATCATGTGGACAAGCAGTCAATAGGCAATTACTTAATTTATTTCAACAAGAAGTAGAAATAAGGACTGTCAAAACTGAAAAGTGATAATTGGACATTACACCTGTAGTTCATCCACAGATCCTCAGACACATGATTTTCCTTCCATATTTCCATGTGGACTCTCATACATAACTATAGAGATAATGCATGTTGAAGAGGCGTCTGTGATATATCAACATTTCATCAACACTGGTGAAATAGTGACCAAAATATTGATTTTGAATTCAAAACTCCCTATTTCTTACCTTGCCATTAATGGAATGGCACTCCTTCCTAATTCCAATAATTCAGCACAATACATGGATAACAATGCTGACTCAGTGTTGTTGTAAGGATTACGATTAGAAAATGAGTATAAAGGGCTTAAAATAAGTGTGTTATATAAATATTAAGTAATTAGTAGTATTATTGAAATATAACTTAAGGTTTAATAATAATATTACAATAATATATGTTTTACTACTATATCCTTATGCTTTTCTCTTTAACTAGTTTTGCAAATGAAAATCTTTAAAATATGGGAAAGCCATAATCTTTAAGCAATTTAATTTTGTTGAAGAAATATATAAAAACTGTATACAGATTTATCCAATGGGTTGTAAGCTTTCTTTAAAGAATAAAAAGGTCTTTGTAATACTTTTTATTACAATGACAAACTGAATCCTACTATAGCAGATGTCTTAACCCTTTAAGTATTCAAAAGCTGTAAATTATTAGTTTTGACACAAATCAGAGTCATTAACATTTTTATAAAGCCAAATATTAATGGAATACTATTTTCATCATTAATGAAATTCATTTATTTTGATTGATTTATTTTACTCATGTATTCATTTTCCAAAAGACCACCCAATTGAATACCTATAGAAACAAATATAGGTAATATTTTTGTTCCCAAGGGTTAATTTGGAGTCAAAATATAAGTTGAGTACCAGACACATAAACATGTACATATATCAATAGAGTTGGTAGTACTGCTAAGTGACAGACTTCATTGTCACCCTTCTAACAACCTTGCTACAGACAAGTCAACATGCCACTCATATTAAGTAAGAGTTATCTGTCTTAGATATCCTTTGCACATTGCAAGTGGCACAGGCAAGCAATTATTTTAAACAGAGTCAATAAGAAAAGGAAAAGAAACCTGCTCTCACTATTGTGTTCTCTACCAATACTGCCATTTTTCCCCATCATAATAGTCCATTCTTCTCAGTATCAATTGTGACTAAGGGAAATCAAGTAGTATAAGTCATTATGCTGGAGGAGTTTTCTTTTTCTGTATAATAGATTTCACTAATAGCTCTTAAATTCCTGGAGGGAATCACAGGGACAACAGCTCCTGCAAGAGGAACTCTGTTGCCCATTCGTAGAGATTGCATGTTTCAGAAAACAATGCAGATTTTGTTTCTATGCTGTTGGTTGTAGTTTATTATTGCAAATGTGAACTATCCATTCATTTGAGTACTGAATATATTGAAATTGGCAATTCAGTAATAAATTAATTTTAGTACTGAAATATAATAGATAAACAGGAAAAAGAAGACTGAAATGTAACAAATTAAAATGAAAGCCTAACTGGCAGTATATTTTATTAAAGATTGTTATATTTTCATATTTCCAAGATAAGAAATGAGTTTCACCCACATAAGACATACCAGTTTTCCTTCTAAAATTAATGGACTTAGAAATACTTACTTTGACTGGGCTGGACTTTAAATTTTAAAATAATAGGCATTCCTACTGTAGCAAATGCAGCAAATGAAACATAACATAAATGTATTGAAATACAATGCTCACAGATTCAGGAATGAATTGTTTCATTGTTCTCCAAGATCATACTGATCTAGGGATGGTTTAGCATAAATGCTTTCAATTAGAGTAACCATCCCAGAAATTACCTATTACTGTCATTAGGAATGTCATCTTGAATTTTTCTATTTCAAGAAAAGTAACATATAAGATTTGGTACGATCTAGAGGAGAATGGAGTTATTTCCCCAGTCCAAGAAGTTTGCATAATTGTACATAAGAACTTTCTATTACATACACACTCAATTTATTTTATTATTTTTAAAGGTTTGTTGCTTAAACCCAGAGAAAGGCAGATGTTTTGTAATGGAAAAGTCCACCAGGGGAAAGTCATTCAAGAGTAAATTACTCTTACTTCACTTAAAATATTCTGCATATAAACACATGTATACAGTCTCGCTCATGCTCACTTCAAACACTCTTAGATCCTTGCATAAGATTCAACATTTACAAAATACAGAGTATTGGAAAACTTGGAGAAAACATACTGTTCTGTAAATAAGGAACTAAAAAGAAAAAAATTATTTAGAAAAATAAAACTTTACTATCCAGTATTTTGTACCTTTCTAAATAAAAGAATTCATTCACTAAATTGCTATGATCATATAAATAGGTAGGCCTTCACTGAATTTTATAGGACATTCAGGTTCTTATTGGATCATTGTCTTCCCATATAAATCAAGTCAGATCTTGATAGCTGAACTTCTATTGTCAGGGACAACAACAAAAAATCCTGCTACCTTTTGAAAATTCAAGGTTTGATTTTGCATTAAGATTTTTACTTTTGTGTTATTATTGTTGATATTAATGATTAGAAGATTATGAATGTTTAGGGTGGAAATATTATTACATTAACAATTTAGCAGTATATACTGTATGTTCATCTCATTTATTACTACCTTATTTGAATAAAATCCATGTGCAAGCCATAAAATAATAGGGAGGCAAGCTTTCTTTCATACTTTTAATGACCTGTTCTGATAAATTACTTGACCTCAAAATCTATCATTTCTATTAGATTAAACTAATTGAAATGTGTGATGACTTTTTAGCACTGCATATATCTATACAAGTACAATATTCTATCAAAAATCCTTTGAATTTTCAAAAATTGCATCTATCATTGGCCTAATAACAATATCCAAAAACTTACACTGAAAAATCCATTACTTATAGTCAAATTTAGAGATTTATGAACGTACAGAGAAACAATTGTAATGATATTATAATGATAATTAATAAATTATAACATTATTCATTATATATAAATGTAATAAATATCTACAGTATCTTTCCCAAATGTAAAAGAAAGGGCAAATGCACAGTCTTAGATTAGATTACAATAATTACATTTAAGGTAGTAATTGTTCCTTGCCCAATATTTCTAAAACAAGGTTTAAAAATGAAATCTTATGTGTACCATATTTTAACTCAGTATACACAAAATATGTACATTTATGAAAAAAATTAAGTATATTTTCAGGTTAGAAGGCAAATATGTTTATGTTCTATCAGTTCAGCCTGTTAAATAACATGTTTCTCTCACACATATATCCTCTAAGTGTGTTCTAAATATATGCCTTACTTTATTCTTTAGTATCAAAGTGTTCAATAATTCTGGTAGTGGGATATAGAATTGTTCCTTCATTGATATATAATTAAATTTCAAATGTCTAAAAAAATATATAATTCAATCATAATACCTCAACAGAATCAAAACTACTCACCAACATCCTGCTATAGAATTAAGACTGCAACGTATATCTTGAGAATAGTGGTGGCATGTATTTGAAATATTAATTATAAGAGACATGCAATTCAAATAAACATAATGTGCATATTTGAACAGCATTTTCATTACAAACTAAGAACAGCACTGCACTCTGTTGGATGTCCCGATATTGTTTTACTTTAAAGTTGTCTCATACCCTTAGCAAATTGACATATATTGATGTTATCATTTTGATCCTTGCAATATTGCATTTGATAGCAGTTTCAGTGTTTTTTAATTCATGTTGCATATGAATTAAGAAGAAGAAAAACATCAGTAAGTAATTATTAGCAAAATGAAGGAGGGCAACCACAGCTGACTATTTTGAAAAGAGACCTTTGAACAAAATTAGCCCCATAGCAGGTTTAGAACATTTATCTATGTTCTACATGGTTATAAAGCAACAATAATTTTCCAATTTCCAGAAAAATTATAATCACAAAATGTAAAGAAGCAACAAATACTTTCTAGCTAATTATAAAGACACCCACCCTCCCAGCTGCATGCATGTACATAATACCAGCTTGTGACCCAATTTATTCCTGTCACAGTGACATGGGGAAGGCTACATGCAAAAGTAAATGCATATACATGTTGACAGAGCAAAAGTAAAGCAATGTAACACATGTATCTGTTAAGGCTTTCCTAATCAATTTAGGTTATTTTTTTCTGAGACAGGTATTCATGCAAAGCTGATGTTTCATAAAGGAAGGGTAATGAGAAGAGAGATTTAGCAAACTGCCAGTATCAAAACTTAATGGAGAATATTGTGAAAGGATTATTTTAACTCAGATTTCAATTAGTCAAAAACTACATATTCCTTGTAATCTTTTTAAATAAAATGAGATTTATTTAGAGCTTTGGGTATGAATTCCTATGTATATGAAATTTTGTTAATGTTTTTTCATGTTCTCATCATATGAATAATCCTAGCAAAATTTAGGAAAGGAGTCCTAAAATATAAATTAAACTTGTTTCTAAGTAAGTATATTTCATTCATCTTAAGAGTATTAACACAAGCCCTTATGGGTTAAAAGTGTCAGCAGTCCTCATTCCAATCATTTAACTTATGTCAGCTGCAAATACTGTATATGCAAGATTATTCTCAGCCAGAAATACAGACATGTTACCAGCAAGTCAGATTAATTAATCCTCCCTTCTACTTCTTAAATTAGTGAGTTGACATCTAGTCATACTTGACTCCTTGTGACTTCCTAACAATGTTTACCATCTCAACCTCAGCCTCATCTGTATTCTTCCAAGGATTTTTCCATAATTTATGTGATAACATCCACATACATCAGATAATGTATTAAAGGAAATAGAAGTCTTCCACT